GGGTCCCTGGGCCTGGGCCGGCGGCGGGGGCCAGGCCCCTCCGCACCCGCTTCTCCTTCTTGTCCTTCTGGGTGTGCTTGCGTGCTTTGTTTGTTTATCTGTCTTAATCCCGTATAACGGCCCGGCGTGCGTGGGGCATCTCTTGGTGGCAAGGTGAGGGTGTCCCCGGGGCGCCCGCGGGTTGGGTGTAGCAAAATCTGCTTCCCAGAGCTGCCGTTCCTCTGGTTCCCACTCACCACAGCCTGCCTTGGGGTGATCATACGGGAACCCGGTGTCGGAGCTAATTCGTGTCCGGTAATTCGCACTGGAGCTCAGGCCGCCTTAGGCTTCTGCGGCAGGTGGGAGTCCTGTGACAGCATCGCGTGGAGTTCAGCAAGCTAAATGAGGAAATGATTGTTACCGTCCGTGCAGAAGCTTTTCTTTTTATGCTAAGTGTGTTTGGGTTAGTTCTGCTGTTTTCCCTTTTCAATATGCTCCATTTTTATATTGGCACCCAATGACTCCAGTGTGGAAGATGCTGAAGGAAGAGAAAATGTCTTGGAGTATGGAGAAATGTGAAAAAGGAGCTTTTAGTGCTGGGACAGCAAATGAGATGGTAACTTGCTACAAAGACAGGTAGCTCTGGAAGTATTGGTCAGTGTGAATGGCTCACTCTCCTTGGTCAAATGAAACAATCAGGGTAGAGTCGCAGCTTTCGTAGTTGCTATTGTGAGTCACCTTGGGCAGCTGAGAGAAGAATCAACTCTTTGGATATTTTCTTAATTTTTCAGTTGTCCGCACAGCAATGAGGTCTAGGCGATTTTGATGTAAACCTAGAAATACATGGAGTAAAACTCTGGAGTGAATGCAACTATGGACGTATTTTGTGGTAGTATGATAAGTGAGAATGTGGGGCCTTCATTACAGACGGGGAAGCTCTCTGCATCAGCAGTCTTTTCTTTTCCACCCCCCTCCCTTCTGCCATCTGTCAGATAATAAATTAATCTTATGTTATAGATGGAGAGAGCTCACTTTTTCACAATTTGCCTTCCCTCTGGGTTTTGCCACATTTAAAAAATTAAGCCTGTGTACATATTTTTTTCTTCTGTATTTAAAACCTGCCAGAATATGAGATCAAATAAAATGCTTGCAGCAGCACTGCATTGTAATCTACCACTGTTTGCTCTCTTTCTCTGCCTCTTGCAACATACAGTTGTTCATAGACTGCCAGGTAGTGTGTGAAAGAGATGCTGTTCTAGCCAATCGGCAGCATTTTCAGATGGATATAAAAATAGGTGTGGGTATAAAGTTGATTTCCTGAGCTTCAAACATGTTATTTAAGTCTGTATATAGACCATATTTGTTGTAACCAAAAATGATTGGGGAAAAAAAAAAGGTGAAAAGGCAAGTGTATGTAAGGAATGTAAAGATAAGTAACTTACATTAAGACTATATATAGAGCAGACTTTTACTTCTTCCTTCTGCCTCTTTAGAGAATGTTAAGCAGTAGTAGGATGACATTGTGATGACATATAAAATGTGCTTTTTTTACTATCATACTAATGCAAAATTTTTAATTATTGCTCTAAGTTCACTAGTGTTGCTGTTAACACGGGATCGTACTGTAATGAAGTAATCACTTGCATTTTGCATATGGGGTGGAGAGTTTCTTGTTCAGGTTTTGGATTTCAGCAGGTCCCTGCAAGGATGGTTTGGATAGAGCCTAAGTCACATCAAAAGTTCTTGTTTATACCTCGTAGTACGTAAAACAAGGTCCTGTTGTAGTTTTCACAGTTGGCTATGGATGTAATAGTGCACAATGCGGTTACAAGGTAGCTCCGGATGAAAAAGTGTCATTTATGAGGCAATGCTGCATTGCTATTTAATGAAATTGTATCTTAATGCCCTGAGTTCCGCTTAAATACCTGCTCAGTTTGCAGCTTTTCTGCATGTGTTTTTGTTCAGAAAAAAATAGTGTCCATTTGCCATCTCTGAGTGAATATATGTTAAAAACATTAATTCAACACTGTTATGTGAATTCATGCAATTCACCTTTGTGTTAAGAACTATGGCAGTGATATTACTCAACAGAAAACACAAATTATGGCATGCAAGACCATTGCCTAATGTTCAATATCATTAAATAAAAAAAACTATACCACGCAGCAAAGTTGCTCAACAAATGATGCCATACAGTAGCATTACACAATAAATCATACTGAAACACTACCACACAGCAAAATTACACAATAAAATGTGAAGAAATTGTATTCCCACTACTACTCCTACACAAAAACTTCTCATTCATATAAAACCAAATTTACTTATTCTCTCCAGTTCTACTTCCATTTTTTGTTGGACACACAAGTCTGTCTTTAGCCCTGTCTCAGTATTCATCAGGATTGTCCTGCCAGCAGGTGTTTTCTAATACTGCTCCAGACTTCTGTGATGAGACTTGTGTAGAACTGTGCCAGAACATCCCACTGAGTTGTGTGCTGCTTTATTTTTGTGCTGTAAAGATTTGGTCTTTTTTTTTTTCCTCCCCTGGTTTGTGCTATTGAAAAAGCAACTGACCTTTTGTGTGACCAAAAAGAACCCCAAAAGACTAAGTTTATGATGAGCCTAAGTGGATTTTTTTTTTTAAATTGATGTCACAATTATTTTAGCATTGTGTGCTATCTAAAGCTCTTTTGTTTGTGGTTTTGGTTTTTTTCAATCTCACATTTGGGAATAATAACTATTCTGTGACTCTTTTCCCCATATATGTTATCAATTACACTTTCAGCCTTAGCTTAATATTATTGCTTGTTAATTTGTTGAAAAACTACTATTTTTCTCTCCTTCCTTGACTATCTTTTTAGACCCCTTTCATGAAAGCCTAAAATCCATTGTAACCATATTTTCACCTGAAAAGACTGAAGGAGATCATTTAGGAAGCCATAAACTTAAAGGAGAGATAGAAGGGACAAAAACGTGGTCTTAGTAAAAAAAAAAAAAAAAAAAAAGGTGGTCGGTGGAACAGTTACTATCAGGAAAGATGATCTAGGAATTCCATTATTTCTGTAAGGGCATGGGATTGGTTACATGTAATAGCTAGGGCAGGGCTGCCACCTTTTTCTCGACTCGGGTAGCTGGTTGGGGTTAGATCTGCCAGGAAGGATTAAGGGTGTGATTAGATGACTGAGCAAGTGACTTAAAGGGAGGTTCCAGGCTGAGTCCAGGGGAACTATTAAGGTGAATAACTCAGGACACAATCCAGGAAAGAAAAATGTGGAAATCTCCAAACATGGGTGAAGAAACCATTGGCAGTTGGGGAGGGGGAGTGAGAGACTGTGGCTCAAAAATGAGACTTGTGAAACCTTGTATCAAAAAACTTTGTTTTAGAAAAACTAGTTAATTTGAATCTATTGAGCTAAAGGACAGAAGGCTTTACCTACTTTGGGTGAGAATGGTTGTTCTTGGAGCTCAGACTTAAAAGGAGGCAGGGTCATCACAGCCCACGTGGGACTGCTTTGGAACAGCAACTATTTACAGCTGTTGCAGTTAATAAGATTACAGACTTTTTCCATCAGGAGGAAAGGAGAGAGGAGAAAGATGTGAACTTTCACTTTAGTGGTAGAATAGTCTTCTAGTAGCATCTTGTTCAGGAGAAATATCAAGGGGGCTTTTATCAGATGGGTCCCGAGTATAGGGCAATGAGGATGTGAAACACACAGCTGCTTGGCCTAAAAGTGAACCAGTGGAGCAGCTTCCCATGGGAACTGCAATTGCCGTAAAAAGTTTTGCCAGAAAGATCTTGAGACTAAGTTAAGAATGCTCAGGAAGTTCAGGTTCAGTTTTCATTCTCAGTCCAGGGAACAGAACTGGAAGAAAACATGTTTCTTCTTTTTCTTCTCCCTTCTTCGTTTCCCTATGCAGAAACCAAGTAGCCAAAAGATCCTGAAAGTTTATGCTTGAGTAAAGTTAATTGGATGGTTAGCAGAACAGTCTGAGTGCAGGTAGTACTTTGTTGTATATGAGAATTTGTGCCAAACCTGGAGGCAAGTAGAATCCAAATAAAAGTTCTTCAGAGGGTGATAATGGGGAGAGAGAACGAAGGATGAGATGAAGATTCATGAAGCCTGTTTCACAGAAACAAAGCAGAGTGTGTTCCTAAGCCTTTGGAGGGTTGGCTAAGCATAAGACTTGGAGATTTGGCTATGATACTTGTCTGGCAGTTACAATTTTCTTCTCAAGGGAACTGTTTTTTATATCTGTGACCATAAAACACAAGGATTAGATAGACAGGAAGAAACACACCAGAAACTGGAGAAGCTAGTGTAATTGGGTTTGGCTGTTTTGGAGAAGAAGCACAAAGAAAAACCTGTAGCAGAAGCAGCACCGGGAGAAATTGGTTACAGAAGTAAAGAATGTTAAATGCTAGATTATGTGAGTTTATTGTCAACCAAACTCAGCAAAAGGAACATCCTAGTTTACTTGATTTGTTCCATAAAGCATCACATTTAACTGCCTGTCAGTGGAGGGAGGGACTTCATTAATGAAGAAAAAACAGCTCTTGGTATTGAAGACAATTTGCTGGGTGTTTGAAGGAAATTACACCCATGTTTCATCACCAAGAGATTTATATCAAGATTGCGGAATTTGAAAGACAGATAATCAGAACAAAACAGATACAAAGCACCTTTGGAAATGGAAACATCAGACAGAAAATTATATTACTGAAGTGGAAACGTCTGCTTAGAGATTTTGGATCACTAAACTTCAAGAACTCAAACCTGAAGGAGTAGCCTGAAGCAAAGCTAACACTATGGATGAAGAGCTGAGTTATGAGTGGAAGACTACTTTTTCCTAATATGAAGGAGGGAGGAGTTGCAGGTGACCATCTGCAACTCTCAGCTTCAGTGAAGAGATGAACCAGAAAAAAGCCTGAAGAGCACCAGCAAGAATGTGATCTGAAGTTTGA